CGTCGACAAAAACGTGACGTCACGGACGGACAAGTCGCGGACGGACAAGTCATGGACGGACATGCCTTTTCCATAAATTTTCATAGCGCCTTTTTTTCATAAATGAGAAAATGCGCTAAAAAGAATACAATCATTAATCAATTACACCGGGTCGACTGCTTTCTGTATAAACGAAAATATTCATTAACGAATATTTTTTTCGTCGTTTTAAAGGCCAGACAATGACTTGCGCTGCCCAAATCATTTCCATTTATACAGAGCGCTCTTAATGTGAGGGTGCATAACGATGAAAATTTTAATGCTTATTACCAATTCTCACGAGGAAATTATGTCGCAATTATTAACGCCTCAAGATGTATTAACTTCAGAATAAACTGACTATTTATGTCACTGTTTATTGTACATATGTTCTGTTACATATGTTATTCTTATAATTTAAAATTCATTCAACCTAGAACCTGAATTCATGGACTTAAGATTAGGTTTCTTCAAATTTTAATCCTAAGAAAGCAATCAGCGACCCTAAACTGATCAATATTCGAATGAACGTTCTAATAATAATCGTGTTTGCAGACCCGATATTTTTACGCCATGAAATTGTAAGCCCTGCCGGTGACGTCGTCCTATTATAAAGACAAGATTTATGGCGAAGTCAGGCCAGCCATCTTGCAGGTTAGACTTCATTTAGACTCACAATGGGAAGCCGTTCTCTTATTCAAACACAATTTAATCGTCGACAGAAGCTAACGTCATGAGACGCCATGTCAGCATCGACCTTCCAGCTTCCACAAAGCGCTGTCACTGAGCATGTGAATTCAATAGAATAGTCTTCAGCGCACGAGCTTTATAAGAAATGTAAGTTTTTGGTACCGAGAGTTGACACTAATTTTTAATGCAGATTAATATCATGCGTTCTGATCGTGACAGAATAATGGCTCTGTTGGCTATTTTTAGCAATGTTCATTTAAACCGTTGATCGATCGATATTTAGCAATATTCTTAAAACCGTTGATCGATCTTGTAATTCAGAACGTTGTTGGAGAAATATTAATGCTGATTGATACATTCATGCAATGATGTGTCTATAAAATATTGAACATAGTTAGTCCCACTTGGTGCAAATTTTTCAAATGCAGATTTGAGTAAATTTACGAATAGGAAGAAAGTTTCAAAACGAATTCGGTTAACTTCATTTGAGATTAGGAAGAAAATATAGTAGATACGTACATGGACCATGAAATCAATGATATTCAAAGTCTTCTTAATTAATCCATGTGATCAACAGCTCGATGGTTGAATGGAACAATAAAAAACTAATCTCGTAAGTAACACGCCAGTAGTTAATTATTTTTCCGTAGACGATTATACTCAATAATCGTACGCGGTTTTTGCGCCTTCTTCACAAGAGGCTAACGGTGATTGTGCATTGTACATGTAGCCAGTAGTGGCGGCCAGTACATGTAGCCAGTAGTGGCGGCCAGTACACGTAGTCTGGAGTGGCGGCCAGTACACGTAGTCAGTAGTGGCGACCAGTACATGCTGTCTGTAGTGGCTGCCAGTACATGTAGTCAGTAATGGCGGCCAGTACATGTAGTCAGTAGTAGCGACCAGAAAAACTTTCAGAAGTTAATTGCGACTAATTATCATGCTTGTGACATTTTGTAAAAGATACTGGGCCCGTCCGTGGCTGATGACCACTAGGCATTAGGCCAATAGCACGGTAAATATTGGTGGTTAGTATACGTAAGTTGTACTGGCCGCCACTACTGTCCCGTGTACAGGCAACTTATGGCGCGGGGATAGCCTGATCACTCAGGGCGATAGAGCGCGACTTGCCCCTCACTTCCCTCGCCTGAGCCGCAGTGCGTCCCTCTTCCTCTTTAGAGTGCAGGGCTTTATACTCCATCCAACACTCCCGAACACTCCATCCAACACTCCCCTACACTCCATCCAACGTTCGCGGACACTCCATCCAACACTCCCCCACACTCCATCCATGGAACACTTCTCGAAGGTTAATATCTTTCCCGTTTCCCTTTCCCTCTTTCACCCACAGCTCAATTTATTCACCGACTTGCCTTTCTTTTTCAAGAGAGATGCACATAGAAGGCCTCAACGGCAATGTGAAGATCCGATAAGAACGCTTGACAAGAAATTATTATTAAAAATAATAATATATTATATATTAATATAATTTGTTATATATAATATTATTAATATTATTATTCTAAATAACAATATTATATTATTATAAAATATTATTATATTGTCTCTTCAGCTTCATTGATTTCTTTGTGATTAACTATATTTTCTAACCAAATTCACAGTAATTTGGTGACTATTCCATCAAATATTATACCAAGTATATAACAAAATTACCCTTCAATACTATAAGCGAAAGGTTCTCATATTCAAGGTCATCTCACCTACGAGATCTTGTTTCTCTGTAAAGGATATCTAACCGCTACTCCTACACCCCTGCCAAGCGCCATACAACATCATGGGTCGATATCATGAGATTCTTTGCCACTCACTCAGCGCGTGCTATTAGAGTGCGCTTTGTATTATGTGAGAATAATTAAGTGACGGAATAATGTTTCGGCCTTCAGCAATATCGCTCATGTTGGGTTCCTTTCAGGCTCATAATATCGATTAAATTTGTAGTATTTTCATGTATCTCTCTAAATCATAAGAGTATAGATAATAAGATGTCAAGTAACTCGTTGCGTACTATTATAATATTTAAAAATGATCTTGTAATTACGCATCTAAATACTCTTTGATTTATAAGGGTAATGATCGCGGTTTGTACGTACGCATCTGACTCTAACCGAGCGAAGATCTGAATTATGAACGCATATCTTGAAGTTTAAACAACGTTGTGTAGATATGCGTGCGATAAAAGGTCTCGGTAATTGAATTGTCTGATCTTCTGCCAGTTTTTCAGAAATCAAACAAAGAAAATTATTTAACAAAGGGCTACTATCCATTGGATCTTACGTAGCTGCCTCATGCCCAGGTATTCATGCCACGCATGACATATTCATCCTCACGTGCGATATATATACCCGGCCAACTCTTGACCGATCAATTCATCCAAAAACGTCAAGAAGGAAGAAAGAATCCGCTTCTCTGGATTCGACTGGCGATGAATACATTGGATGTTGCCGCCGCCTCGCGCCGCCTGATGCATCACTCTATTAGTGCAGCCGTCTGAACTTTGGCAGGCTTCCTTGCTCCAAGATCTGTGGGGCAGGTCCGTGGAGCTCAGCCAAACGATCCTTATCTGCTCCAAGATCTGTGGGGCAGGTCCGTGGAGCTCAGCCAAACGATCCGCATCTGCATACCTGCTTTTGGTTTTAACAAAAGGCTCTGGATTGGGGAAACTGATCCATGCTTCGAGGTTTGATTTTTAGCGACAGATTTTTTTAGGAAAAGTGAGCTTTGATGTACTAAGATTTTGTACTTAACTCAGAGGACCGTATATATTGCAGAAAATTCTAGGCTGCAAAGAATTGAGAGGAGCTGTAGCAAATTTGTGAACTAATCTCGAAGCCGATTTGAGATGGTATCCCATTGATTCTAATATCGGACACTCTTAGATTCTGGTTAGAACTGTGTCTGTTTCGGAGGGAAAACTAATACCTCATATTAAAAAAAAATAAAAAATGATTCCTCTCAAAAACTAATTACTCAATTTTCTCTCAAAATTCTCAGGAAAATTTTTAAGCCGCGTGACTTCTGATTTTCATCCCATTTACACCAGATAATTTTGTCTCAGAGCTTCATGTCAACTTTAACGCTTATTTATTATTGCAGTCATAATCGCTTAATTCTAAACCCTGAATTTTGTCTTGGAGGCTTTGATGCCTTCATCGATTTTTTTGAACCAATATTAAACGATGAAGCATCATCCTGCAAAAATGGAAATGTACGAGTTGTTCTATTCTATCAATATTGTTTGCACTTAAGCTGCATTCATACGCAGAAAGGCAAACTAAATAGAATGACATAGAAGTTAAAAAATACGCTTTTTCGTTGACAAGAAAGACGCGTTTCGAGGGAGCAAAAAAGTTTTGCTCGGAACTCTATACCTGACAGTCATTTATTCGAAAAATAATTCGATTGCTAGCCTGAGGAATATTTCATGAGAAAATCTGACATACGCAAAAGTTAAACTTGGTCTACTTTTCAAAGTACAAAGTTTCGTTATTTACTGCCCGGTTAAAATCATCCGAAATTTAAGTGGAGTTTTACAATTTTAACTGAGGTATCCCATTTGTATATTTCCTTCATGCTGACATTACAGTATGGGCTTTTCAAAACACGGAAGCTCCCTTCCATTTCTGAAGGCTTCTGCCGCAACCCTAATTGGCTCGCACATTTGTCCCTTATTTTTCTGGATAAATTTGACAAACGCGCCGAATGCACACACACCTTCGCTCCTCAGCGCCAAAAATTATTGCTCTTTCTCGAAACTTTTCCTCGCATAGCCTTAATCAAAAAGCCACCTTGGATTATTTCCCGTGTTTTGTTTCGCTCCAGAATCAATCTACAGGCACAGATCTCCACTGCAGTCTGCACTTCAGATGGACAAAAAAGGCCCTCTATATAAATTTTTACCAATGTTTAAAAAATTTGTAACATTTGCGTGCGTTTTTCTGCCACAGCGCCTTGATCTTTTCAGTGTGTACTGTCGTCTCATCGAATGTACTCAATAATAAGTTTAATTTTTGGACCTAACTTAGGCTGAACTAACATCCAACGAAATAAAAATTTGAAATAAATATGCCCCTTGAAAGATTACGACTGAAATATTCATTTCTAAATAAATTATTTTAATAAGAATGCAAGTAGATTTTACTACATTTGGTATCAGTAATACCGGCACACTTATACGATTGCATGAACTTCAAGCCTTTCAATGAACGCCTGTCATTGACATTCGTAGTGAATCTTCTTCATGGCCAGGCTTTGAAAACTGACTTGTGTGGGCTTCAACACTTACAGTTACACTTGACTAGAAACCAGTGAGATGAGCAGTTGGAAGTCGCGTGGCAACATGAGGGCAATTATATTTTGCGCGTTATTGGGCTTAGTGACTGGCCAAGGTGAAGATAAGTCGGTGTTGGATAGCATTAGAGGGGTCAGAAGTAGCTTCAAGTCCGTGGCATCGACGGACGCATCAACAGCTACTTGTCTAGATGGAATGACCTGCGTAGCCCCGACGATGTGCGGTGTATCTGGTGAGTAGTAATGTATGTACTTGTATTTTCATCTCTTTAATTATGCGCTAGGTGCATTAGAGCGGTCACTTAAGGAAAGGCTTTGATCGGGTAACTTCCTCTATAAATATGGTTTTGTGTAGTGGTATGTATAGATGAAGTTTATCCGGCAGGATGATAGTGAATTATTGTAGCTGTTCCAGAGTTGTTTTGTATTGCGTGCTTAACCTCTTCTGTCAATCGGCTCGTTTCACTTCGTGCTAGTTATTAGGTCGTTGGAATGTGGTTGGCTGCTGGAATTCTATAATATCTACCAACTTACCCTATTGAGTAGCTTCTGGAAGATGCGCATTGCATTTCTTAGAGTATCGTTGTTTCAGTTCGATGAACGCTTGGGTACTATGCCCCGCGAGGTTTTACTTGAGAAGCACAGAATATAGTTGCTAACCGTGTGAGTTGTAACTTTTAGTTTCGTACCGGTTGATTGGGGAACGGTAAAGGCATTCGGATTTGAGGTAGTCTCTTGTATAAAGTGTGATGAGTAAAATTGAAACTTGTTCACAATTAACAGGTTCCACCTGCGAGGAAGGAAAAGTGTGCTGTCCTCGCGAACAATTGAAGTAAGTACTTACAGTGTACCTTATCTGAGCACACGCTACTTCTGACTACATATCATCATCATTGATATGATATACTAAGAAACTTCGTCAAGCTGAGGATATTTAATGTTGATATTTCATTGTAAGGTTGCGTTTGACGGCATTCGCTAATGTTGATCTTGCTTCCAATACTGTATCATTAGGATTGACGTGGCCCAGGAAGATCCTGCAGATGAAGGTGTTGCTGGGCGCTCGTCTAACGGTTATTCAGGCAACTCGTTCGGACTTGACCCTAGGAAGTTCAACACTAGAGGTCCCGCTGAGCCGAGGCCTCAGGGTTCTGGCACCTCTGAAAAAGGTTCCTCTGAAACCGAAGCCAATAGTGCCGATAGGGAGCAGTTCGGGCAAGATTCCCGTGGGTTTGACCCTAGAGACAATCACGGCCCTCTGAGACGTGGGCCGCGTCCGGAAGTCCCAGAATCTTTCAGAAGTGGCCTTGATGGCAGGCAGGGATACACGCCGTACAGTGGCGCCTCTTACTCGGCAAGCCCGCGTGGATCGTACGGAGGAGGCTCCTACGGCGGATCTTACGGAGTTACTCAGGAGGCTTACGGAGACGATAAGCATTACGGCAGCTTCCGGCACTTGTTCATCGAGGGCTTCGGGCGCTTCGCACCAGATTTCTATGGTCCAGGGTTCGATTTGAGGCAACTCTCCTATCCAGCTAGAGAGGTTCTCCACAAATTCAGATACAAGGAAGTGAGTGTACACGAGCTTCTCTATATTTAAAGGCGACCGTCATGTATAAACCGAGATGTGGCTTGAAATGAATAGTTTCAGCAGAGGGGCGGAAGTTCACGAATCCTAATTAGCCTACGGCTAAGTGGACTAGATTGGATATCCTGAACTCGTTTGTATCCAGCATTACCCACTTACTCGCTATTCTTAGATTCTTTGTTAAAGTCTTCCTCATCTATGGCATTTTCGTGCAAGCTTAAAAAATTTAACCGTATCCTCGGGTGGCAGATGGTCAAGAATTTACGCATTTTAGATATGAACTCTTTATCTGGGTAAGTCACTATAAACTGATCGCCACTGCCTGAAGCACTGAACTAAGAACGTGCTCTGCGTACCTACTTTGCAGGAGTGTGGAGTTAAACGAACCAACTTGTTCGCTGCGTTGCAAGTGGCTCCCCGCCACCCCTACGGAGGTCCTCTTCCCTACCGCCCCGCACCCCGTGGCCCTCCTGCGCTTACCTTCAGGAAGCTGGGAGAGTATCCTTGGCAGGTCAGACTTCATGGAAGCTTTATTTACAATTTTTGTACAGGGTACATCAAACATAGTCATGCGGCGAAGGTGAGAAATATCCTATCAGCGTATATCTCTGCTAGAATTAAGGCTAATTCTTCATTCTAGAAGCATTTCTAAATTTTAAGCTGGATTGAACACCGTATTTGCGGCTACGGTGTTGAAGCAGCTCATCATGACTGGTGACTATAGAAACTAAATTGCCATAATTAGTTACTAAAATGTACCATTTCCTAAATTGCACAGGATGAACTTTTAAGAACTAAATAACGCAGAAAACTGGCCTTTCTTTTTTCAGGCTGCCCTGCAGGGTTGGACTCCTCGCGGCTACGGTCTGCGCTGCAGTGCGACTGTTGTCAACCCTTTCCTCCTGATCACCTCGGCGCACTGCCTGAATGGCGAGTATCTGAGTGCACCTGCTCCTTGTACATGTTTACCCGCATGAATAAGATTATTCAATGCTAAATATTTTTGCAAACTTGTGGGCGTTAACTGTTCTAACTCTGATATAATGAGACTTGCATGTCTAATTTATCAAATGGGCGAGGAAACTTGCATTGATCATTATTGAATTACGGTCATCAGTCTGGAATTAATCGATCCTGACAACCGGAAGATGCTAGAATGTACAGAGTTATGACATTGGATTCGTCCCATGGAATATTCTTGATTATGTTGACGCTTTTCGCTTCACCGATGTAGATTACGGAGTGTAGATTCGTAATTGTGCTAACCCCATAATATTTCATTATTCCGCATAGATTTATTGGACATAATAGGTCGTATGCTATTGATTAGGAAATGTGGCAGGATATAGCGTTGCATGCGCTGATGACCATTCCACGGTTCAGACACTCCCTGCTGCATCTCTGATAGTATCCACTCTCGAAATGTGCAATCCTTAAAGGCTTCCTACCGTAAAAATATATATTCCAGATCTGCTTGTACAAACACTGTTCAACACTGATTTCATTCAGCTTGTGTCCCGCACCGCTTACTGGAATTTAAACCAATAGATAATATTCAGGCTAGACTAATGCCTCGCCGTTTAGAAATTGCCAAGAAATTGTTCCTTTCTTTAGCCGTGGTTGAGCCCGAGCTGAAGGTGGTGCTAGGCGCGTTCGATCTGCTTCTGCCCCACCCACTCCTGCCAATTGTGGAAAGACCAGTGTCGAGGATATTCGTCCACGAAGAGTGAGTGATGGTGGAAAAGTAATTATTCACTGGAATGACGAAAATTGGCAGTTATTTTGCCACCAGAAACGCCTTGGTTCGCAAAACACGTTAAACCAGAGTTGCGACAATGTAAGTAGTATCAGAACCTCAATTGAGAATGTAAATTCCATAATTACAGTAGTTGGACAATATCACGCCGATCGTAGTTAGGATTAACACTCCCCAGTTTTTTCTCAGAAGGATTTTGTTTGCCCCCCAGTTTCAACTCGGCAACGCTTGCTCATGACGTAGCGCTGCTGCAGCTCCCTGTTGGCGTGAACTTCCAGATGACTCCACACATCGGACCCGCTTGCCTACCCAGGCAGAATCAGACTTTCGTCGCAACCTCCTGCTACATCGTTGGCTGGACCGACCCCAACCCATTCGATGTAAGCATTCCATAGTCCAATAGTTTAGGAAATGAGCGGTAATGTCCGGGTGGAAATAATTTCCATTACCAGTGAAAAGTATTTTCTAGTCGGGAACTACCTATAATTTATTATAGCCGTCGACCAGTGTCGATTGCCTGATGGAGAAACGTCGAATTTTTTTGCTAGGTTGTCACTTAAATCACCAAGCGAAAACAGACGAAGGGTAAATTCGATATTTTCTTCTTTACTAAGGGCCCCGTACCTCGCACCAACGAGATGAGTGTCTCGAACTGGCAGTTCGTCGCCTCCAGGCAGGAGTGTCTGCAGCTCGTGTCACAGTACGCACGCCCCCTCAGCCCGAATGACCTCACCGAAGAGATGCACTGCATCAGGAGTGTCTCGGAGTCTTCGTGCTTGGTGCGTTCATTCGAGTTCTGTAACACTTGAGCTCCCAGTTAGCCGTTGCATGAAGGCCTCCATTGATAATTGCGTCCTTTCATGTGTGCCAACTTTCTAATGTTCGGTGAATGTTAGAGTGTGCGTGAAGTAGGCATTTTCCTTAGAATGCCACATCCGCAAGTTCCAAAAAATGATTCCTTCAATGGACTAATCTTTTGCTTCCTGTATCACGTCTCACCTCCATTATGTTTTCTAACCTCCCTTTCTCTCGTCCTTCAGGGTTCATCGGGAGGTTCTCTGTTGTGCGATGTAGAGACCATCCCAGGCACCCCCACTGTTAGTGGCACTCCAACTACCGCCGGTACCACCACCCCTGGCGATCAGACATCCGTGAAACACACTTTCCTCGCCGGCATAGTGTCGTGGAGCAACGGGAGATGCGGCAAAGACGCCGTCGCGGTCATCACCGAACTTTCTCCCTACGGCGGTTGGATTAACGACTTGCTGTCAAATGCAGGTGGTCTGGATAAATTCAATCCCGACTATTATGGAGTCTTTGTGGGTGGATATCCTCGCGGTCGTGGTGATTATGGCAACTCTGGCTACGGCACTGGCTATGGCAACTCTGGCTACGGCACTGGCTATGGCAACTCTGGCTACGGCACTGGCTATGGCCTGTCTCTTATACACATCTAGATGTGTATAAGAGACAGGAGCATGACTATAAATGAGCACTTCTGTGTTGCAGATAAGTTATACTTCTCTTATGCAGGAAGGTTNTCTGGCTACGGCAACTCTGGCTACGGCAACTCTGGCTACGGCAACTCTGGCTACGGCAACTCTGGCTACGGCAACTCTGGCTACGGCAACTCTGGCTACGGCACTGGTGGCTACAGCCGATAAAAATATTCAGATTTGGTCATGTTACCTAGGATGTCGATTTCAGTTCTAATGCCTGCATTTTAATGTACTACTGGTCATATGACTATAAAGCCCGCTAGGTGTCATACATTACGTGGTCGACGTTTAGCATAGAGAGCAAGATCATGGGTAGGAACAATATTTCTGTAATGGGGTTATTGATTAACGTGTGTTACGGTAACATCTTTGCAATAAAAACTGACGTTGCTATGTGGCTTTCTCTTCCTTATCAGTAGTGCTGAAGATGGGAATCCTCCAATCCTTCGAGGTATACTGTATAGAATTAACGGTTCATGATTCGCAAAAGTCCTTTGCCAATTACCAAGCATCAATTGAGAGAAAGTTACTAACTGAAGACACCATAGCTTCATTTTTGCTCAGCATAGCTGCCTAGCAAAACAAAGCAACTTCGAGCCCAATGGTGTCGATGATGGCCTGCAACATATATAACTATATTTCCGCGTATGTAGGGTATGGAACTCCCTTCTTTTCGAGGATGCCTACGACGGAAGAAAACTATTGTTTGTGAGCAGTTAGGTTTCTTGATAGAGGACTTGGTCTAACCGGTAGTGTATCTTAACCCTGACGTGAAGGCCAATACGTACTAATGCTTTCTGAGAGTCAGCCCTATAGGCGAGTAGAGGGAAAAACTAATCGATTTTATGGTGTCAAGTTAGTATGACAGCTGTAGTGATATAGTCGCTGTGGTAAGCCGTGCAGAGCTCGGCCGCACCTGTGCTTCCAAGTGCATTACGAAGCACTGACTCGGCAACTATAACTTGGAAAAGACGCTTGCGAAGATTAGTTGACGAAGGTAGAAGTATTTGGTAATGTCTGACTACTTGGAAAATTCAGAAGTGTTTTGGAAACTAACTTTTAAGGACTAATATAATTTCTGGAATTTAGAACTTTCAATTTTCTAGGTCTCCAACGGAATTAAATAAAACTGGCAGCTTCGAATAGCTACTACAGTATATTGCTGCCTTGACTAATGATGGTAACGTGCCATCAAATTAGAATGCAGTGATGTTAATGTACCGATAGATGGATTAAATTCCATAGTCGAATTTAAATCAGCGTTGTTAATACACTATCAAGAATGAAATGGGTAAACTGCATACGGGTATTTTTTAAGTGTTGTGGCTTCATAATTCGGACGACAAGGGAAATATAAAAGCAAATCATGGTTGAGGTACAAGCTTCACTGCAGCGCTGCTGCAGCGGCGTTTGGTGCCCCGTAGGCACTTCAGCCAAACTTTGTCAAACAATTCAATTTGAGGAAGTTTTTTATTGCGTCAATAAGCAGGGAAGTTCTTGAGATCAAATGATCGCTCTCCTTCATGCTTGCCCGAGGAAGCTGCCACGGGCAAGCCGGTACTTCTTATCATCGAAAACAACAAGCATCGATAATAATTTTGCCTCATAGCGATTGCGTAACACAAAATATTCGTAGAAGGCACATGCAAATCAAAGCAAAAACTATTAGTACGGACCAAGGAGTATGCGGAGGCTATCGGGTGCACTATAAGGATACTATAGGGTGCAGTCGCTAGGCATGAGAATACGTCCGAAATTTATAGCGGACTAAAACGCTACGCATGCCCCCCATATAATGACATTAAGCTGAACGTAGTCCTCGAACTTATGTCTGGACCACGCACCTAGCTGATCAGACTGTCATCTAGTTTCTGCCCAGGCCCACGCATACAACCTTGAGTCCAAATAGCCATGCTACTGATAAGGAAGAGAAAGCCACGACGCCTTTTACGTACTTCGGCGCGTTTTTCGCAGTGGGCCTTCTAAGCCAGACACCTAACGCCTCCTAAGCCAGGCCCCTAACGTCTGCTAAACCTGACCCGAACGCCTGCTAAACCAGGCATATAACGCCTCCTAAACCAGGCACCTAACGCCTGCCTAAGTCTGGCACCTAACGCCTGCTTAAACCAAGCCCCTAACGCCTGCTAAACCAGGCACCTAACGCCTGCTAAACCAGGCCCCCAACGCCTGCTAAACCAGGCTCCTAACGCCCCCTAAACCAGGCACCTAACGCCTGCTAAGCCTTCCTAACGCCTCTTAAGACGACCGCCAGTAACGAGCCTCTCGAGAGCCTCGGCCGCCGATCTTAGCCAATAACTCGGAAGAAATGAATTGGCGCGCTCTTGGTGCCGTTATTACGCCCACAACGAGCGATATTGCTGTGTCCAAACTTGTTCGAGTATCTATTGCATATTTGTGACTTGTTCGAGTACCTATGGCAGATTTGTTACCCGTTCTAATATCTATTGCAGATTTGTTACTTGCTCGAGTATCTACTGCATATATGTTACTTATTCGAGTATCTATTGCCGATTTGTGACTTGTTAGGGTATCGATTGCAGATATGTTACTAGTTCGAGTATCAATTGCATATATGTTACTTGTTCGAGTATCTATTGCAAATTTGTGGGCTGCAAAGAAGCGACCCATCATCCGCTCTCCTGCGGCACAAATACCTGCGAGCCGAAAAAGCCACAATAGGTTTAGTCCAGCAGCCAGATTAATACATTATCGGTAATATCGTAATATGTATCTTAGTTTTAATAAAGCAATCCAATACCATTACATAACTGGGAATTTATCAATGAAGAAAAATTTAAGTTTGTTTATAAAACTCGTCAACTTTTTGCCCGGAGCTTTATTACCTCTTAATTATCACCTTATATACAACAGAACCGAATAAATAAATTTATTTGCGGCGATCTGTTTAACTGACCAATGCCATGCCAATGAATGAAAAGTTGTATGATGTGAATAATGAATATCATCAGACGCTCGGCAAGCCTTTGCAGACAACACATGTTCCTGAACCTGCAAGAGTCGGGCCATTATCAACGGAGAGCCATGCAAGAGTCTAGCTATTATCAATGGAGAGCCATGCAAGAGTCTAGCTATTATCAATGGAGAGCTTTGCAAGAGTCGAGCCATTATCAATGGAGAGTTATGCAAGAGTCGAGCCATTATCAATGGAGAGCTATGCAAGAGTCGGGCCATTATCAATGGAGAGTTATGCAAGAGCATTATCAATGGAGAGCTATGCAAGAGTCTAGCCATTATCAATGGAGAGCTATGCAAGAGTCGGGCCATTATCAATGGAGAGTTATGCAAGAGTCGAGCCATTATCAATGGAGAGCTATGCAAGAGTCTAGCCATTATCAATGGAGAGCTATGCAAGAATCGAGCCATTATCAATGGAGAGCTATGCAAGAGTCGAGCCATTATCAATGGAAAGAGCCAGGAGGACCGGCTACAAAATTTCGTTACAGTCTCATACGTTCGCTGAATGGAATAAGTTGTTAACGTTGCGACAACTGAAACGTTTTCAGTGTCATCAATTGAATTATTCAGTTGAAACCAGACCTCCAATCTCGTGCTAGAGTAATGCATCATTGACAGACAGTGGATATATACAGATGGGATCCTTGCCTCGATTACAAACACAAGTACTAATTTTTCTAGAAAAAAAAGAAGAGGGGAGAAACAATTTATTTTTCAAGAAGCCATTGAGTGTGTGCATGCCGCGATGCGATTAATTTACATGTTAGAAAATTTCATATAAACTTATTTCAACATCATTCCTTGGTCGTTGTTTTTCTGCTCTTACGCTCCCCGCACAACTACTGGATGATCTCCAATACTTGATGATACTTCTTAACGCGATTTTGTATTATAAATTAATTTTATGCAGAGAATCATGCTTCAAAAAACACAAACTTAATCCGATCCTTATCATTGTTCCCTCACAATCTTTCGAATCATCATCTCCGGCATCCACTATATAAGGCAGCACATCCTATTTTGGCAAGTCCTTAACTCCTTAATCATTTAATGTCGCATTAATGGCATTTCCAGGGATTCGCAAAGTCACTCCTCACTGCGGCAAATCCTACAACCGGTTACGGCGCTAACATATCGCGTTCATCTATATTATTTATTTTATTCTGTTGGGTTCCGTCCGACGGCTTAATTTGGTTCGGGTTTCCTCTAAATTTTTCAGTTTTGAAAATGTAACTCTCGTGGTTCTTCCATCTTTTTTTATAATAGTCCGATTTTTGAAGTTTTTTTAATAAACAGCTTAATATCAAAGGCTTTTGTGCTATCTATTTTTTTTATAGGCGTTTCGAAAAGATTCCAATTAATACTTCGAGTGACAATAAATTCTCTGATTATTTACTTTCAAAGTCACCGTTTTTTCTTCTTCCCAAAGTTTGATAACCGATCGTCTGGCATTATTATTATCATTATACTTTTTTGAGCTTACATCCTCCTTCGGTTCTCTCAAACTGGTATTTTTTACACAATGGAGCTGAAATCTTGCTTCAGCGACGCAATTGATACAAACGTTACATCCGTGAAAACTTCCAGCATCAAATGCTCACATTGGCAGCCTCTGCATCTGTAAACGAGCAATACTCAGAAACTGTTTAGGTCATATTGTCCAAATTGCGTACCTATGGACGAATTTAACACTAATACGTTCTTTTTTTCGTGCCAAACTTGGTCAAAGTGACTCGAACGCGTGTGAGAAGTGAATCGAAATTTGAAGAACTATTCACTCACATCTCGGAGTTTACGGCAGCACGTTAACCGTCCGACAAAAATTACACCGGATCTAAAAACCAAATAAAATAAGTCATGGTCGTTGACTTTTCCGTGTGTAACAACTTAAGAGAAGCCAAAAAATGTACGTTCCAAAAAATATCACCGGGATATGCAACTTTCACAGAAAGACATCTCTGCGGATAACGAAATGTGCGGAATCTTTTTAGAAATTCCAAATTAGTGATTGCCGAATCCCAAGAACATCACAGATCCTATGCTAACTTCCTATAACAGTCTAATACAATTAATATGCGTAGTGGGCCTATCACTCAAAGAAATAATTGAGAATTAGTCCAAATCGCGAAGCACTTTTGCTCATATACCGGTCATTCTGACTTGGTTTA